AAAATCGATGCAGCTCAACCCGAAAGTAAGAACTCGTCGAAATAAACGAAAGTAAAAAGGGTGGCGATGCGCCGAGATTGTATTGAACGATTGTTAATTGATTACATGGGTTCGGGTGATATTTATACCCGAGATACAAAATATGTCCTTGCCGGACACGACACTTATCTCTAACAAACTCTCAGATACCATAAGTCTTTGCGGTAGACTTTTGCCCAAACATATCTCTAAGGAAATTATATGAAATATCCTAATTAATAGATACAATTGCCTCATCCGAGAGCTTTATCTCCATCACGGCAATCCTCATGAAGCACTTTGAACGATTCGGGAAACAGCTTTGAAACCATCTTCATCGGAATCGGCTACATCATCTTTATCGGCTGTATCGGCTGTCTTTTGTCCGATCCATCTCAGCCGATGCATACTCTGTTCTTCGAATCGATCTCTTTCTTGAATCTGCCTCGATCCCAATGTCGAACCTGGTTCACACCTTACCAAATTTGGTCGTCAATAGAATCAAAGCAGAACACCAGAGGCCAGCAGGGCTACTGCAGTCGCTCCGAATCCCGGAGTGAAAATGGGAAGAGATAGGAATGGACTTCATCACCAGCCTTTGTAACAACCCTCCCTCAAGAACCGCGTAGCCCTGCCCAACTGACGGGCGGGCCAACTTACACACACCACCCCGCTTACACTTTCGTCCTTGATAAACTAGCAAGGTGGTACTAAATATGCGCACACAGCTCACATGGGCCACACAGGCTTCATCCTAATTCGGCCAAGATGTCATAGCCTTCCCCGCACTCAAGGCTGTTATGATTCCATTTGGGTCGTGGTGAACCATGTGACCAAGGTGGCACACTTCATTCCTGTCAAGACCACTTAATCCGGCAGTAAGATGGCATAACTCTACTTCGCCCGCATGGTGTACCCAATAACAGGTACCCAGCTCACCTCTATGTTTTGGCAGAAACTGCAATAAGAGCTTGGGACTCGTTTGAACTTCAGGACTGCTTATCACCCTCAGACCGACGACCAGACATAGAGCATTAACCAGATCTTAGAAGATATGCTTTCTGCCTGCTTCCTCGATTTTGGAAAGACCTAGGACAAGAGTCTCCCATACGCAGAGTTCTCCTACAACAACAGCTATCAATACAGCTTGTAGATGGCACCATACGAGGCTCTCTACGGGCAGAAGTGCAGAACGCCGCTCCTCTAGGATCAGACAGGTGAGCGACAGGTTTTCGGGACTGACATTCATCAGGGAAGCGGAAGCGAAGGTCAAGACCATTCAAAACAACTAGAAAGTGGCCCAGTCCAGGCAAAAGAGCTATGCCGACAACTGCCGCAGGTATCTCACCTTCGAAGTCGGGGACTATGTATACCTGCGTATTACTCCACTCCGGGGAGTCAGAAGGTTCAACACCAAAGGAAAGCTTGCTCCCAGATACGTGGGCCCTATAGGATCCTTGCCAGATGAGGGGAAGTTGCATACCAGCTCAACCTGCTAGCATCATTGGGGAATGTTCATGATGTGTTCCATGTCTCCCAGGTTGAACTCCAAGAAGACCTGGCCTATGTTGAGAAGCCCATCAAGATCTTGGACGTATCAGAGTGACATACGTGCAGTTGGGTCATCCACTTCTGCAAGGTTCAGTGGAGCCAGCACTCCAAAGAAGAAGCCACTTGGGAGCGCGAAGACAAGTTGAAGTTGGTCCATCTTCACCTCTTCGTTGGAGCTTCCTAATCTCGTGGTCGACATTCTCTGTAAGGGGGGTAAGTTTGTCGCGCCCTAAAGCACCCTAAAAATTTCCTACCCTTTTAATTGGTTCAGAGAAATTGTAAAAGCCGAATTAGCCTCAACCATTAAATGGCATCAAGATTCAACTCGAAAAAGGTGTGCGGGAATATTTGTAGAGTTCCTCGTGCCTTCAAATGTGTAACCAATTTTTACTTGAATTTTAAGAGCACTGGAAATATTATTAATGCCACAATAACCCTTGTCAGCTTTGTTAAAAAGAATAAATTGATTTAAATCCCCTCCTCCCCCTTGGGTTGTTTTTGGCCCACTCCCTCCCACCTTTCCCCTCGCGGCCCAGCCTAGCAAGCACCTCCCCCTCCTCCTTCTCAAACCTAGGCCGCCTCCCCGGCCCATCTCTCACATGCTAGCCTAGCTCTACCCAAGCCGAGCCAACGCCCTCGCCACCACCGCTGACGGATAGGCCCCACCTATCAGGGCCACCTCCCTCCTCCGGCTCGTCTCCTCCCTCCCTCCTTGGCGCGCCCGGCCTGCTTGCCAACTGCATTCCCCTCTCCATTGGAGCTAGGGAAAATGCTCCCCACACCCTCCTCTTCCTCTCCCTCCCTATTTACCCCCTGCGATTCGTGGTCGGTGGGGAGTAAATGCCTGCCAGCATGCTGGCGCCATTGATGGCTGCCGGACGAGTGCTCCTCAGCCGTTCCTCCTCCTCTGCAGCCTATAAAAGGAAGCCCCGATCCACCTTATCCCTGTTTCCTCGCCTCCCGAACCCGTCCGCCCATCCCTCGCCATCGCGCCGCTCCGCCGCCTCCAGCCGCCGCTAAACGTCGGTTGGGACCTCCACTTGTGCCGACGAGGCCGCCTACAGGATCGTCATCTCCGTATGCCCCTCCGTTCCCCTCGGTGAGCATGGGAACTCCCTCTCCCATTATCTACCCGGGCTGGCTGCTCTCTCCCCTCGCTGCGCCGCCGCTCCCCTCTCCCCTCATTTGATAATGTTGGTTAGCGGTTGTTCTTCCGTGAAAAGTAGCTCTCTCTTCGAAATACCTCAAAACCTATTTTCGGCTGGGCTTGAGGTGTTTGGTTTTGCTTGTCACACCTCGGCCGACATATGGACCGGACTTCGGGGCACGACTGCAAAGCATTTTCCATCCGACCACCTGTCTAGTGGGTAAGGTGTAGTGTATCGCTTAGTGTGGCCTTGATCAAGAAAGGCATGGATAGGGATGGATGAGGCCCAAGTTTTGTGTTGATGTTCCTAGCAGTCGCGCCTAGGGGCATAATCTGTCCACCTGTCCCAGAGTTTATTGGTCGTGGAAGTCTATGTCGGTATTCCTTGTTCGGGGCAACGTTGGACGATAGGTTATATGACAGCTTCCGCCCAAATGCCGTGGTGGCATGTGGCACGTGGCGACACGTAAGGGAGACGTGTTGGGTGGGGTAAAGTGGTACACCTCTGGCCAGAATTAAATCTATTCGAATAGCCGCGCCCTCGGTTATAGGCAAGCGGAGCAAAGACCCAAAGTTAGTGGTTTCTGTCTATTAGGTTGGAACACATGGTTGGAGCCTATGGGATTGGGTTAAGGAGGTCGCGTCGTAGTGCCCCTTAGGCAAGTTCGCGTCATAGTGTGGCTTACGCAAGTTCACGTCGTAGCGCAACTTGGTAGCAATTTGACTAGAGATAGGGCGTGGTTTAATAAAATGCTTTCCAACTGTTTGCCAAATAAAATGCTCATTTGCTGCAAGTTAACCCCAACATACTTATATGATCCTTTGTACACCCTTAGCATTATTTTTGTATTGTTTCGGCATGGTTTGCTGAGTACGGTGGTTGTACTCAGTCTTGCTCTGCTTTCCCACTTTAGCAGAGGAGTACCTTGAAGATGGTGGGTTCGACTTCTAGCTCATGCCTGACGTCAAGTGCCTGTGGTTGCCCGCGTGTTGGCCGTTGCCTGTGGTTGCCCGCGTGTTGGCCGTCGCCTCTTCTTTTTCGTTTATCTTTGCAGTGTTAGGCCCTTGTCGCCCATGTAATAAAAGTACTATGTTTACGCTTCCACTTGTAAACTCTGTTAATTATCAACTTGGTTATGTGTACCTTGCCTCCTAGGGCAAGGAAATAATGCTCTCACAAATGGAATCTAGTGCTCTGTTTCCCGGGCGTGATATTTTATGAGGTTTAGATATTGCTTTTATGAGAGATGATGAATGACACTTATATTCTATACTTGAATTAAGCCAATATGCAATATTGATGCTAGTGTGTGGTTTGAATGATAAATGCTTATGTACATACTTTATTGAATTGTTATTCCTCAAATAACTTTTTAATTGCTCATTGTGCACGAGAGTAAAAATATTTATGGAGAAAAAAAATGGGTGCCGAATCCTTGGGAACAGTCTTGCCGACAAGGATGTACTCGGAATAATTGAGAGAAAAATATATGCTAGGCTAAAGATCAATGTACGTGGTTAGTGAAGATTCCATATGGCATACGATGGAGATATTGTGTACGTCTGGGATGTGGAGTCGAATTTGGAGGGAGTCCAAATTTGGTACAATTGGAGTTTGTAAAGTTTGTTTTTTGTATGGAAAGGTGTTCTAGGGGATTATGACTTCTTGTACAAGGTTTGTTCGTGGCTTTAGGCTGCCTACCTCGAGTATATATAGAGAAGGAGGGTGTGTCCTCGTGGTATCTTTTTGAGAGAGAGTTGAGTTTAGAGAGAAAAGTTAGGGTTTCGAGTTTAGTTGAGATTTTCGTGAGGAGTGTTGTTGTTGCACTTTGTAAATACGGAGAGAAGTAAGAAAGTTTCAATCTACTTTGGGAGATCTTCAATTTATGTTTGCTCGGGTTTGGCGGTCCAACCGGCGGGACACTGGTGGTCAGACCGGTGGCATCGCACTGGTCAGACCAACGGGGACACGGCGGTCAAACCGGCGGCGGCGGCGACAGGAGGCAGGGGTGATCTTTCAGCGGTTAAATCGGGTGATGAACACCGGTCAGATCGATTTACATCAGATACAATGGTAACTTGTAATTCCGCTAAAAGTTTCGGTTTTTAAGTACTATAACCATTCACTCCCCTCTGGTTGGCTTAGTTTTTGCTATTCGATCCTTCAAAGAATTTATTAAACCCCATGCAATTAATGGTTACAGTGTGCAGGTAGGCCAGCCAAGAGGGGAAAGGAGGAAAGTACGTTAAGGAGGAAGAAAAACAACAAGGGCAATATATAGATGGACTCTATCCACAGCGACCACCACTCCATTTCATCTCATCCTTCCCCAACCTTTCTCTTCTCCTTGAACACACCCCTCTCTTCCTCATTATAGAGAGGATTTAGCAAACATGCACATATACAAAGAGCAGGAGGCTGAACCATCCACTGGCCTGATGGTAATTGCTTTTCTTGGCCTGGAAACTCCTAAATTTCCTCCTCTTTTTCAGTGTCATTTTGCAAGAGGGTTTGGATTTCTTTTTTAATTGTATGCATATGGGAGCTTTGGGAAAGTAGAAAAGTAGAATCATGGCTGCTAGCTGATGTGTGAGAATAGCTAGATGGCCATGAAGACGGGGAGATATAGCTAGAGATCTTTACTCTTTAAGCAAAACAAGAAAAAGAAGAAAAAAAGGTGAAAGGAAGGCACAAGATCAAAGAGATTGATCACCACAGGACCAAAGATCTCTCCTTTTTTCTTTTGATCTACAAGAATTATACAACTCACGAAAGGAGCTGTAGTTGCATATATTAATTTTTAAGAGAGATGATGGCCATGATGTCTATGGCACTTCTTGATTTTCTTGCCATAGATCCATCTTCCGGTCTTGCAATTTCTTGATTATGTTGGCTTATGCAGTGCTGTTGAGTTGTTGCATAGAGGACTGATCCATATCTCTGGAATTTTTTTGTGACTCAAATTTAGATGCCAGAACCAGCACCTGCTGCTTCCCCCGGCTCCGGCAGCTCAGAGGGCTCAAGCATCGAGGACACAGCGGACCGTCAGGTCACCTTCTGCAAGCGCTGCAACGGGCTACTCAAGAAGGCGTATGAGCTCTCCATGCTCTGCGATGCCGAGGTTGCCCTCATCGTCTTCTCCAGCCGCGGCCGCCTCTACGAGTACTCCAACAACAGGTACTGCATTCCTCTTCCTCTCTTCAGTTCTAGAAACCTGAATTAATCCATGTGATATATGTTATCTTGTCCTAATTGGAGAAAGTTAGTTGCTACCTTTTCTTGTGACAAAGAGGAGGCATGTATATGGTGATGTGCATCAATCTCACCTTCTTTTCTATTACTCATATATGTTCTTCAGTTAATTAACTGTCTTGTTGTAACTTCTGTGCTTTCTGGGGGGTAGTAGCAACTAGCAAGTGAGAAAGAAATTGCTGGAGTTTCTTTGTGTGTGTGATGATCTGTGTGCTTGCTGATGTGGTGCGCACATATCTGGTTTCTTTTGTGTTTCCTGTGAGGTGAGCTAGATGCGTAGATTGATTCAGCACAGTGCATACTTTGTGAAGGAAGCATGAGCATATACTCCCTCCGTATTTTAATGAATAACACCGTTGATTTTTTATCAACGTCTAACCGTTCGTCTTATTCAAAATTTTTGTACAAATATAAAAATATTTATGTCAGACGTAAAGAACATTGGATGATAAATCAAGTCAAAATAAAATAAATGATAATTATATAATTTTTTAAATAAGATGAGTGGTTAAATATTGGTTAAAAAAGTTAATGGCATTATATATTAAAATACGGAGAGAGTATATGCTTATGAGCTTTTCTTGTGTGGTGATGGGTGTCTGTGACTGTATGTGTGTGTTGCTTTGGCTTGGTGGTCCTCTTCTTTTCTTGCTCCATTTATGTTCTTTCCTTTCTCTACCTCTGTCTGTGTGATGAGGCTTGCTTAGATCCTTCACACCTCACTGCATATAGAGATCATATATTATATATTATATTTTCTCTCTTGGCTATGCATATGTGTGCAGTAACTTGTTGTAACTACTAACTAGTATTATGCAAGATTGTGGGCGTGTGAGGTTTGATGCTTTTTTTCAGAGGTAAATAGTGGTGTACACGAGTGATGCACACATTGATCACTCATGATTCTTTTGCATTCATCTTCTTCAATCTAGTATCCGGCAAAGAGGGTAGCGAAATAAAAGAGTGATTGTACAAAAAACAACCTAGTTGAACCAGTAAAAAAACTATTGGTAAAAAGGTCTACAAAAACTCTAAACTAGATTATTATGTATGATTTTTCCTTCATTTTTAAAATTATGTTCTAATAACCCGATCTATCTTGGTTAAGAAAAAAATATCTGTACTTAAAACAATTAAACATCATACTCCAAATGTTAATATCCTGCATGCACAACGCTATCTATAGACTCTAGTACTCCCTCCGTATTTTAATGTATGACGCTGTTGATTTTTTAACCAACGTTTGACCAATCGTCTTATTCAAAATTTTTATGCAAATATAAAAATACTTATGGCGTGCTTAAAGAACATTTGATGATAAATCAAGTCACAATAAAATAAATTATAGTTACATAAATTTTTTGAATAAGACGAATGATCAAATGTTCGTTAAAAAGTCAACGGCGTGATACATTAAAATACGGAGAGAGTATTATATATACTCCCGTACTATATTGCTGGATTACGACTGGTCAATATATACAATAGAAATATATATTTTTTGCATTTATTAAAAGTGATTTATTGGACTCCCATTAATTTAATAATGAATTTCCTTGTTTTGATCTATTTAGTAAAAACTTCAGTTTAACAATTACTCCATCCGTTTCACAATGTAAGTCATTCTAGCATTTCCCACATTCATATTGATGCTAATAAATCTAAATATATATATCTATCTAGATTCATTAACATCAATATGAATATGAGAAATGCTAGAATGACTTACATTGTGAAACGGAAGAAATATTTACAACTTGTTAGGACAAAAAGCAATTGTTTGCACCGCAGCAGCAGAGAAACACACTCCCTGTGTGTACAAGGCTGCAAATGTAGAACTGTACATGTATGGAAGCAAAAATTAACCAATGGCACGGTCAGGCCCTCTTTAGTTACCGCGCAAAAACTTTTCACCCCGTCACATCGAATGTTTGGACACATGCATGAAGTATTAAATATTAAAAAAAACTAATTACACATATTGCGTGTAAATTACGAGACGAATCTTTTAATCCTAATTGCTCCATAATTTAACAATATGGTGCTACAATAAATATTTGCTAATGATGAGTTAATTAGGCTTAATAAATTCGTCTCGCAATTTACAGGCGAAATCTGTAAATTGTTTTGTTATTAGTCTACATTTAATACTTCAAATGCGTATCTGTATATTCGATTTGACAAGCCAAAACTTTTCGTTCGCAAACTAAACATGGCCTCAGATCCCACCCCAAAAACTTTCACCCTGTCAAATCGAACGTTTGAACATCTGGATGAAGTATTAAATATAGACTAAAAAATAACTAACTTGATAGATTGCGACTAATTTGCGAGACGAATCTTATAAGTCTAATTGCTCTATAATTTGATAATGTGGAGTAAACATTTAGTAATGATGAATTAATTAGACTTAATAAATTCGTCTTGTAGTTTATTGACAGATTCTATAATTAGTTTTTTATTAGTGTTCGAATACTTATGCAACAGCCTATATAATAATATCTAAACACCCCGTAGAAATGGCAGCGTTTGCATCGGGAGACTACAAGAGAAAAAGGCTGGTGAACCGGTCAGAATGGTTAAGGTCTCTGCCTGCCTGGCTGGGTTGGCTGGCTAGGTTGACCGTAGCTGCTTCTCTGTCTTGCATTGGCGCTCTCTCTCTCTCTCTCTATAAGCCATTGGTCACTTGGACGTACTCCTATGATTCACTGACCACATCCAATCGTGCTCATACTGTGGTTCTCAATAGGTTGCTCGAGGTTATTAGGGCAAGTACTACGGGTATCCAAACACAATCTCCTAGATATCACATAAGCTAAAATAGTGAGGTGGAGAAGAGAAGAGATGAGAGAGATAAGCAGCCACATCTCATGTAAGAGACAACCACTTCACAAAATTCAAGACAAAAGGAGAGAGGGGAAGAGTAGATTGGGCAAACAAACATTGGGGCTAGTGTATTAGAATTAGTATAGATGTGATATATTGTACATGTTATCTCTACATTTATTTGTTGATGATGTGGTCAAAATTAGATGCAACATCCACCTCTTTTATAAAACTTGCCCTAAGGGTTTTGCAATTTGTTGGTGAACATTACATAAACAGTGCTAATAAAAAATTATACAGTATGTACTTGCCAATATGGCAACTTGCTTATAGTACTCATTTAGGAAGAATTTCAGGGAAGTGTTGCTATATACTGGTTCACACATGCTCCATGTTATTTTGTTGCAATGAAAGTTTTGGAATGGAGGGAGTATTGCTTTTATATTGGTCCTTGGGAATAGTTATTTGGCACTATTTTATACGTATGTGATGTACTCCCTGCGATGTGACATTTGCTTCGATCTTGCCTTTGAGAATTCATGTTGGTCTTGACGAGGAAAGGGAAAGTTTTCTGAGGGTTATCGGCATGTTAAATTTTTGTATGGCACTTTATAGCTTATCGGCATGCCTGAGGTGGTTTGGATTAGGGACTCTGTCACATATGTTTGGATATTAAATATAGACTACTTATAAAACTAATTGCATAAATGAGAACTAATTCATAAGACAAATTTTTTTAAGCCTACTTAATCCATAATTAGTACATGTTTACTGTAGCATCATATAGGCTAATCATGGATTATATAGACTCAATTGATTTGTTTCGCGAATTAGTACAGGGTTATGAAATGAGTTTTGTCAATAGTCTACGTTTAATTAATACTTTTAATTAGTGTTCAAACATCCGATGTGATAGGGACTAAAAATATTTAGTCCCATCCAAACAGCCCCTGAGATTGACAAAGAGTTGGAGTACGAAATGTGGCCAAATGATCTTGCCTGTCAATTTTCAGCGGGAGCACGTCTTTTTATAGGAACTTTGTGATATCCTCTTTGGTTTGTAGTAGTCTCAGATATAGGGGTGTATAAATGGTTAACCCTAAACTCACTCATAGGTAAATAAAATAAATCCCTTATATATCAAAATAAGCCGCTTATTTTATTTTGACTTATAAGTAGATTTGTGGGTTAGCCAATAAGTGCACCCTTAATCTCAGACAATATCAAAGGAAAATTAATTACACATATTTTGTACTATTTCATGTATATACTTTACATACAGTAGTTAGTTTTTCTTATATCAAGAGAGGGAAGGACATTACTCTGAGTCCTTTCTTGAAACATGTGTGCAAGATCTATGATCAGGGCACATATGTATAGTTTTTATGTTGTCAGCAGAAAAAAAATTGGCTAAAGTAATTTCGCAAAAAACATTGACTAAGTAATGAAGTTAATAAAGTGGAACTGTCAGGTTATATGGTTTCCTAGTGTTCATAATAGCAAGATATTAGCTATTTGGTAAATCCATATAGGATACTAATAATAACTTATTAGAATTACCCCGTCCCAAAAAGACCAGTTTTGAACTGTTCATATCTAACGTTTGACTGCCTGTCTTATTTGAAAATTTTTTTATGATTAGTATTTTTATTTTTATTAGATGATAAAACATTAATAGTACTTTATGTGTGACTAATTTTTAAAATTTTTCAAATATTGGACACAAAAACCTACAACTGCACTTAAAATGGGGCAGGTGTAGTACCAATTATAATGACTTTAAATCAGACCTTTAAGTCAAAAAGGAAACGAAACGTGGAGGGAGAGACATCCCTTCAGACATTTTTTAAGAAGAAATTGTAAGCGTGTTGGGAATTGAACACAAGACCTTGGGGTTGAAACCACACACCCCTTTCACTGCATTATCAAGTGTACGCTTTAAGCAATTATTTCCAGAGAATTCCTTATTCTTACATGCTAATATATGTAGTATATTCCTTATTCTTATATGATGTTGATCGACTCCCTTAAAAGTATTCTGATAACATGCATGAAATGCTAACAGAGCATATTTACTTCTCCATATAATATTAAAGAAATCAAAAATCACATCTGAGCATGCAATGCATGGATGGCTATTGGACCTCGATGGCTCTATAGTTCAATTTAGTTGGGAAAAGATGTCCTCGGTAAAGGGCAACAACTATAGCAGGTAGAACAATTTTGCTATATATTTGTCGACAAAATTTTCTCCTAAAAATATGATAGATGTAATTATAGTATAATTATAGTGTAATTATACTGTAACTTACATATAATTACACTGTAACTTGCATATAACTTTCACATAATTTTGAACCTTTAGATTTGTTTCAAGATTTGTGCAAGTGAATAAGGAAAAAGTCACTGCACGCACATATGTGAGAGGATTTGTTCCCACGATCTCCATTTCACCGAATAACATGTTACGTAGAGATTTTTAAAAGTTACACCACGATTTGTGCTATAATTGCATTTGTCAAATGTTTAGGAGATCGATCCCCAGTAGAATGACTCCTGTTCAGACTTCTTCATGTAGCTCCCTCCCCGGCCAGACCAGTCAATTTGACATTATTCTTGGAGACAAACAGATGAACACAACAATGGTATATACAGTCCAGTGTTTGTACAGTATGACACTCAATCTAACTGGCATCCTGATTTTTTTTTTGCAAATTTTATTAGCAATGACTATGGAAGTCAGAGTGACATTTTTTTACGACCAAACAATGCTTTAGATTAAACATTAAATAATATCATGCCACAGTTGTTCTATTGTTTCGGAAATATAATGAACAAACTGCCACTAACTCTCTTTTTTTTTTGGTTGATATCCTTCAGGAAAAAACCCCATGTTATTTTGAAGATTTGAGCTTAGAAATATGTATAATTTGTCAAGAAAAACTCTAGAAAAAACTTTTACTGTGGTCAACAGTTCGTAGTTATTCTTCCTTCCAATACACGCAATTAACTATTTTTGTGTGCTACACTACGCACAAATGCAGCGTGGAGGAAACTATTGAGAGGTACAAGAAAGCCAACAGTGACACCTCCAATACCAGTACAGTTGCAGAGATCAATGCCCAGGTATACTAACATCATCTGAATTCTCAAAAAAAAAAGAAATCATCTGTCACTAAAAATGCAGCATGCAGTAGTTTTCTATGCTGTAATTAACCAATGCAACATTCCTTGTAATTAACCAATGGTTTCTATGCTGTAAAAAATGAGTTCTCTGATCAAAATCTTCAGATTGGACATCCTGAATAGAAGCTACAGTACTTTACGCAATGGAAATTCCAGTGACGCTATATATATATAGTTTTGACCAACAGACATACTCCTATCTGTGGTTGTCCACTGGACAAAGTTCTTCATGATTCCATGCTTGAAAATAGAAATGTCTTACTGCATGTTTTTGGCACTTTTGTCATGCATGCATATGCATGCAGGTTGATTACATAGTTTAATATGGTATGATTTGATGATGCTGCACATTTGAACAAAATAAACATGAAGAGTCAAACATTCCAGTTAGCAAACTGGCAGAACTTGTCATGATTTTAACTACCAGTACTAAAAAAAAACTCAAATTACAAACTTGCAGCACTACCAGCAGGAGGCTGCTAAGCTGAAGCAACATATCACCTACCTGCAGAACTCCAACAGGTTCATTATTTCACTCAGCTGCTTAGATTTTTTTTTTTCAACTTGACAAAGTAGTTCATCTGGTTATAGGCCTAGAAAAGATTAGAGCACGGAAGGTATATTAATTGTGTGCTACATTCACAAAGAACTGTAAGTTGAAAAGGGCATTTTATTAATTAATTCATCTAATTTGATAAGCATTCCATATCCTGCAGAACGAATATCTGTGTGCTGAAATTGAGTACATGCAGAGAAGGGTAACTACTATCAGCAAAATACCATTGTTTTCTTTCTTGCAAAATTATTAATTTGGTTTAGTTAATTGGCATCATAAGATAACAGCACGAATGTAATCCCTTCAGGAAACGGAGCTGCAGAATGACAACATGTACTCAAAGAGCGAAGTAACTATATTCTGTTCTACATTGCAAAAAAAAAGGAGATTAACATAGCTACATGGTAAATCTGAATTGAGGTTACTGAAATACTACATCCGCCCCAAAATATAGCAACCTAGGACGGTCACCCCGTCCTAGGTTGCTATATTTTGGGACGGAGGGAGTAACCTACATAGCAAATCATACCGAATTGACTGAATTCTATGTCATCGTACTAATTAATAATTATTGTGAAGGTTGCCGAGAGTGAAAGAGGACTGCAAACAGTGAACATGATGGGTTCAGCATCTACGAGCGAGTACGTGCAAAATATGATCCATTACGATCCAAGAAACTTCCTGCAATTCAACATCATGCAGCAGCTAGCTAGCCTCAGTATTATCCTGAACAGGAGGACCGAAAGGCCTCACAGTTCATAGTTCAACAAATGAAATTTGAATGTTCATTACCTTCTCATTGTAAGCATCGGAATCCTAGTTAGAGACATCAAGTTTTTCAAAATAAAAAATAATTTAAAAAATAATGAAGAGTTTTCTTGGGAGCATTATTACAGGGTCAGATCGATATGTGTAGGGCTTATCTCAAATTCTAGGTATTGTTTGGATTTGCTTGCAGCCACAAGAATTATAACTCAAATTTCCCTTGCATCAAATTATAGAAGGAATTAGAAGGCATATATAAGTTATAGACAAATACTGTGGTCAAGAAAAGTTTGTTCACGTACGTTCTGATGCAACGCGTAACTAATTTTCTTTTACTGTTTACCTTCCTTGCACTTGCAGATGAAAGATAAATATGGATCCGTATCATGCATGTGCTTTCTTCAAGGAGAGTGATCAGTTAGATATATTACACTGTGTCAGTAGAACTTTTACGTGTGAACTCTTGTATGGATGAATAATTAACTTTATCCCATAATTCAGGCTTGGCACTATCAAGGTGATGTACGGTTCAACCTGTGAAATTCAAATACTTCATACCCTTTTCCTAAGTTTCTATATGTAATATTGGTGATAATATCTTGTGTATACATATAAGTGTTGTTTCGTTAGCTGCGGTTTTTTCAGGAATCACTTGGAACTCTCTGAACTCACCCTCTCTGAATTTGCTCGCTCTGACTCTTTTCTTTTCAGACATAAACAGTAAACTGAAGAAATTAACCGAAAACAGAATGAACAGGGCAAGACAGGGTGTTGTGTTGAGCTCGCTTTCAGTATTTTCTTCTCTATTTATTCAAACACAAAACTTGGCTCTTAAACGAAATTATATTGGTGGCCTACAAAAGCACCAGTTCATCAACTCCATCCAATGATCGGGCGAAGATGCAAAGAAATAGAGATGAAGCATTGCCTCAATCATGGTGTGCGTGCGTGCGTTGTGAAGAGGCGGCGGACCAACACTAGCTACATTGATGCTTGATGCGGGCTGATCTGTTGGATCTTCACAACTTGTTATACCTCATTTTGATGGCCCATCTATCACTACTATGAGGAGGAGGAGAGAGGCCAGGGGTGGAGCTAGACAAGTGTGTGTGTGTGGGGGGGTCATATAATTTTTGCAAACAATATTATAGTAAATTAATTATAATTTAATAGAGTGAACTGAGGATATATTAGAGACAAAAATTATGTACCAAATAAATATATCCACTAGATGGTGAATAAAATAATTGCCTTAACTTTCAACTGAAATACTATATAATTTGATGTAAAATAGATAAAATAGAAGACAATAACTATACTATCCTATCATGGTTACATTGCATCACAATATGTGTATATAATTTCACTGTAAACCCTAACCATTTGTTAAGGAGAAAAGAAACAACTATTATCAATTTCAAAACCTATCTTCCACAAGAGTTTTTCCAAGTTTTAGTGAATCAAATTAACTCATAAAGAATTAGAAAAATGAGGAGAAGATATAGTTGTGTAAGGATGAACTGAGAGGAGGCGGGATGCGGCGGCCAGTGATTAAGGGTGCCGACCTCGGCGGCATCCCGGCATATCTCACCGAGGGGCCATCCCCCGGATTCTGAAACTAGCAACCGGAGATCGAGTAGATCGGTGGATGGTGTTAGCATGGGTAGGAGGTCAACATGCAAAGATGTAGCCTAGAGGGTGGGGGGGGGCAAATAGGCTTTCTTGAAAATCACTAAAAATAATCGCAGCGGTCAAATTTTAACGGGGCCCGAAACTTCTTGGTGAAGAACACCGGAACTTCCAGGTAGCTTTATACTGCCCGGAACTTCCGAAGTTCAAGCACAGGAACTTCTGGGTTTCAAGAAATACTGAAAAATGACTTGAAAAGCAAATTAATTCTATGCCTATTCAGTCACCATGATGCACGGAGGAACAATGGAGTATATAAAACACATGGACGAGCATAGAACAATCATAGAGGAGACAAAGACAATTTTTTTCTAAAGTTCGGATCACACGGATCCTACTCTCCATTGAGGAACTCCAAAGAACTGGGTCTCGATTAACCCTTTGCCTCACTTGTGCAAAGATCCTAGAAGAAGTCCACCATCTTCAATCTAACACCCCTAGGTCATTCTCTAGAATTTAAGTTACCACCAAGATCAAACTCAACTTTCTTCTAGAGAGAACCACAAGTGAGGATTGCTCTACTAGGACTACCTCTGAAACCTCAGCACAATTTCCTTAATTGCTTACTTTGTTTCCTTGCGGAGGTGAGTAATACCTTCACAAACTTGCCCAGGACGTCCACAATCTTGAAGAAACTCGCGGGTGACACTTAATCGTCTAGGAGGTGTCTCTCCAAGAGTAACAAGCTTCAAATCACAGCCCACGAGATACCCCAAGTGTTGAAACCTTCCTAACCTTCAAAACTTTCTCCAAATCACTCCAACACCCTCACAATCACTCTCTCACACACACAATAATGGCTCAAGATTTGGGTGGAGGAAGAAAAATCACATTGGGAGAGGCTAGAAACAGCTAGGGAACAAAGAGCAAAAGTGAAATGGCCAAAGAATGAGCTAGGGTCGAGTTTGATATATATATAACCGCTAGGTGACGTCATCTAGCCGCTACTCACACAGATTTGAACTGGAATATTGCCCAGAAGTTCCGGTCCTGGGCACTAAGAACTTCCGGCCAGCACTTAGGAAATATTCTCCTTCACTCCTCTGCCCAGAAGTTCCAGCCAAGAGTGCGGCCCAAAACTTCCGGGTAGGACTTTCTGTCTTTGGAGGGGCTATTTTCAAAAATAGCTTCTAAAAATATTTCACTGATTGGATATGGCTAAGAGCACTTAGGAAACCTCAGAACCACACTTGAAATATCTCTTAACAGTACGGTTTTTCCTAAACTCATAGAGAAAAATAAATCTAGCCTAACTCGGCTCCGGTTCTTCTCGTCACTTTGAATTTGATGAATTGGGGGCGGGAGGTATCCACACGTCCTAGCCACCTCAGAAGCAACTTGGGACTAAGAGCCTGTTTGGTTGCTACCCTGAGCAACATGCCTGAGTATTTTTCATGCCTGAGGATAGCCTGAGCTTGCTTACAAGAGTTACCTGACCAGGCATGGCTTAAATTTAAGGTAGTGTTTGATTAAAGCCCTGAGAACATGCCTGAGTGAACTCGAGTGCCAGGCAGTGTTTGGCTCATATTTTGCCTGAGCATACCTTCACCACATCGTACAGAGGTGGTGAGATTACCCTCTACATATTCTCAACTTGTTCATACATGAAGGAAAAGCTAAATGTACATGTATAAAGATTTGGAAATTTGCATTATAGAAATATGTACCGTGAAATGATCTTCCATCTCAGCATCATTCTCTTTGGTTGGTCCAACCAATAATACAACTTAAATAACATAACATTAAACCAAGGCTATTAGGTCCAGCCAATAATAGTACAGCTTAAACAATATAGCAGTAAACCAAGGATACTACAAAGCTACCAGGTTATCGAATTATCCAAAAGATTAGCATTGTCTGCATATTTAATAACTTGTCATAATATGCACCACCATAGCACCTATGTTAGTACTATTTAGCAACTGTTTAAACACAAATAGTGCAGCAATTGCATAACCAAAAGGGTGCAACAAAAAGAGACCCTCATCGACCATGACAAGCTTTGGCTAACTTATAATATGCACCAATAAGTCAGCCGAGATTTGGATCATCACCAGATAGAAACTTGTAGATCCAATGCTCAAGGTATTCTTGACCCATGCTAATAAGAAAACTGCGGTTAGCTTGAAGCTCTGGCTTACAAAGGTGCAGCCCTACTCTCAACTTGTCATCAGGGTCTAAGGCAATCTTCTTAAGCATGTCCCATAGAGGAATATTTGGATCTTGAGGGGCAACTGTCTGTATTGGTTTCTCAAGAGTGTTTTTGATTCCAACCAAGGTATTGTTGATCAGCACATCAACATCATCACTATCATGCACTTGAGCTGTGGATTTTGCCTTTGTCTTGTTACACTTATCATTATGTGATTGGGGCAACGTCTTTGGCTTCCCACACCTTTTGAAATTCTTCTTGTTTGGCTTCAAATCATAATTAGTAGACGATGAAACTTGGATAGTAGCTGCACTAAGGGCTGCCACCTCCTTGCAATCATCACTGTCTGACTCCAATTTATCAAAGTCCTCACCTTGTGGAACTTTTGTATCAGCATAGGTTGACATATCATTCAGAAAATCAAATTTATCATCTTCATCATCTTCGTCATCAAAATCAGCAGCACTTGAAGGATCTTCCATGAATGCACCATCAGCCGAGCAACCACTAAATAATTCTTGCAGCTTGTCAAAGAATTGGATTGGCTTCGAAAGAATTCCACGATCATTTATCTGCAAGTGAAAAAATCATCAAGAACTTCTAATTGATGTTAATAAACCAGTTATATTCTAGAGGACAAGTAATTACCAAAAGTGCATCCAAAGTAGCTTGAGAGAGAGTTAACATTTTTGTAGTCTCATCCCAGCCATTACCACTTTCATTTAGATGACGAGCTACAAGAGACCAATTTTCTTTATGACGCCTGTAGTGGTGTTGAACTTGATCAACCGTGTAAGTAGTGCCATACTTGCTATTTATAGCTAATGTGCAAGCAGTGTGGTGTATCTTCTTGATCACTGCTTTTGGCGGTAGCTGCAACTTCTTTTCAATGTACCAATCAAGGAGGAACTCGGAGAGTGCTAGCGGCCAATTTATAGGTTTGGCCCTACCCGCTGCTAGGTTGCTTGATTTGCCCTTGCCCCTGCCTTTGCCTTTGCTTTCTCCTATATCCATGGTATGAGCTACAAAAAGATGCATGTTGAAGGAAATAATGATATCACATAAATGCACAGAGTTGAAAAGAATAATTGCTGGTATACATACAACTGAAACAACACATAGTCATAAAATAATATCCATGGCTAGCTTTGAGTACAGCACTAGAACTGAAAATAATTATTGCATACATTTCTAGAACACTAGTGTTCATCCCACATGGTATTAGATAGATTGTTCCTAAATGCCACCCACTGCTTGTGCTCCTCATCCTGATCTGTAGCTACTCTAGCTGACCTAGGAAGTCTCCTAAACCAACGATCTTCATCATATATTATATTATCAGGACCATTATCAAGTATCCAGTTGTGTAGAACACAACAAGCTATGACTATCTTCACTTGGACCTTGTATGGAAAGTATGGCTTGCTAGCAAGGACTTTAAAACGATTCTTTAAGGTTCCAAAAGCTCGCTCAACAGATGTGCGAAGGGAGGAATGCCGAAGATTGAATAATTCTTGGGGTGTTTCTGGTGCTTTCCTGCCTTCGTACTCGTTCAGGTGATATCGAACACCTCTAAATGGTGGCAGTATACCAGGCCTTGCCGCATACCCTTCATCAGCTAAATAGTACTTTCCTAGAACACATAAGATGAATGGTTTTATTGTGTTGCCACAAGTTATTGTACACCTGAAAATACTATGACTTTGTGCACACCTTCAGGTATTTGAATTCCATTTGATCTTTTAAGGGCATCTTTGAGAACTACCGAGTCATGAGCTGAACCCTCCCATCCAGCAAGCACATATGTAAACCTCAAGTCAAAGTCAACTGCAGCAAGCACATTTTGCGTTGGATAGGACTTCCGACCTCTAAACCTGTTAACTATATTCGCAGGGACAAATGCAGGGACATGTGTACCGTCAATTGCTCCAATGCAATCCTATGTTAAAAAAAATTGTTGTTACAAAAAAAAGAAGGCAACTACAAATTAGAAGTTCAATAAATTTGACACGAGATACCTCAAAATATGGGTAGAATCGGCCCGGGTTACTAACTATCTTTGAATGAGTGTCTATTGATCTAAGTTGTATCATATCTTTAGCAAGATAACATAAAGCTCTTAACACCTCATTGAAGTATCGACTCACTATCTCACTTGATCTTTTGACAAAAAATCCAATCACACGATTTCTCAAATTGTGACCAACAGTGTGCAGGAACATAGCTAATTGCTCTTCAACTGAGACATGGATTGTGTCACATAATAAACCACGATCTCGTAAATTGGAGGCAAGCTTCCAAAAAACTTCTTTTCTCATACGAAGTTGATTGATGCAATTGATATCAGTTCCATTGTATAAATCATCTAGTCTTGTTTGTCTGATCAGATCTCTATCCACCAAAGGCCCATATTTCCTTGGAATCCGTCTATTTTTCTTACGACGTCGCCAACGAATAATAGCCAACACGGTAGCTAAAATGGCCAAAGTTCTAGCTTGTTGTTGGATAATGTATTCATGAGTATGATCTAAATCCATCTGAGCATCACATGACAAATAATAATAAATAGGTGGAGAAAAACACAAATATTGCAATGGTTCACATAGATTTTTCTTCTAACAGACATGCTCTTGACAGATCCTGGAATAACAAAGCAACAATAGAAGGGAAAAGCAACAAAAAAAAAAAGAAGAAGAAAGAAAAAGAAGAAGAGAACTTGAGAGTGTGTTCTCACCTTGCTGCAGAAGATCGTGGAAAAACTAGTGGAGACTTGCAATCTCACATGCACAGGGAAGGAGAGAGTTGAAAAGTTGATTCCCTTTCAGATCTGAAAAAGTGCTCTCTTTTTTCTAGTAGCTCTCACGCATAGAGCTGAGCTCCAACTGATGGCACCAGATTTTAGTGGAAGAGGAAGTAGACGGCCACCGGATCTACAAGGTGGAGCAGCCCCTTGGTCGCTGCTGCTGCAGCCATGGATGGATCGATGGGGATTTTTTTCTCCTCCTAACCCTACGGTGGTACAGTGAGGAGGAGAAGTAGTAGAAGAGAGGTGATTCTACTCAAGCATGTTGGGGGAAATGCTGTGGCTTGCTCAGGCGACCTTTTTGCTACGCCTGACTCAGGCAAGTTTCGTCAGGCAAGATTCCTCAGGCTAAAATTCTCAGGGTAGCAACCAAACACGTCTCAGGCAGATTACAGGCTTGGGCTCAGGCCAGGCTGGTTTGCTCAGGGTAGCAACCAAACAGGCTCTAATTATCCGTATATAAACTCAATAAACAAATTAGTCCCTTTAACCATTTAGTCATTAATCACCAAAACCCACAAAGGAGGTTAGATCTACTTTCAGGAGGAAAGAGCAGCAGGAAGCTGCTAGAAAGAAAATAAAAGGAAGAAGGCAAAGAGACATGCGCGTGTGCGTCCTCGCGACAACAACAAGCTACAACGTATTGGGCTCCTCTTGGCCTTCAATACATTTGCTAGGTCAGGCTTGGACACAACTCATGATGTGGGTTTGTGGGTTGTCTGTGCTTCCATCTCTTTTCTAATGTGGGTGGGGGTACACCAAGCTTTGATTGGGGGGGTGCCCATATGGCCAACAAGTGGTATTGACCGTTAATTTTTCTTTTGCAGTCGGGTGCCCATGAACCCCCTTGGCCCTACATGGCTCCGCCCGAGGGGGGGTGGCAATATGGGTCGTAGTTGTGCCAGTCGACCTACGCACCCTACCCAATAGATAGATCCGCCTCTCGTTTATATTGCACAATAGAAAACTAAATTATGAAAAGAATAATTTGGAATACTGAAGTGTGCACAAGATCACAATTTCCACTGTCACGATTAAACTTAAATTAAGTTTAGCATAGCTTATTAGATAGACATATGTTGAGCATCGTAAGACGCTATACCTCGCCACGGTCCACGACGGCAGGGTGCAAGATGTCCCCAATAGATCGGCTTCGATGGCCATGGTGCTAGCTAGAGAACTACGTGAACGATTGATTTATAGCTCAGTTACCCTCCGACGTTATCTGCCGCTTTGGTACCATACGTGAAATTTGATTGGCACAACGATCAGCCGCTGATTTGAGACAGACAAGGACTATGTACAACTTTCAAGCCGCTTTGCAGATTTTTGCCAACCATAGATATATAGGAATTTAACAATAGGTGTTATCTTTGTCTTTAGGCTGGTATTTTAAGTAGTTTTATTACTTTTAATCAAGTTATGATTTTGTACTTCACAGTCGTTCAACCTATAAACTCTATAAATAACTGGTTATATATATATATATATATATATATATATATATATATATATAGAGGTTCTTAGAAGAGAAGATGGAAATTAATTCTGTAATTAAGAAATGGACCACGTAACATATATGAAATTATGAAAGAAACTACTATCTTCATTTTAAAATATAGCAATTTAAGATGAGTCTAATTACATCCTAAGTTGCTACATTATGTAACGGAGGGATACCAAATAAAAGATATATAGCTCATATATTTTTTTACATAAAAATATTTTAAAATAATAGTGCTTATTAGACAAGACCCACCTCACCATCACAACTTTTTTTAAGAATGTTTATATACTTAAAAAAAAATACCCGTGCGTTGCAACAGGTAAATGCTATTTTAATTTTATTATTGTTATATGGTTTAGCTAGGGTAAAATCCACTGTGGAAATTCGCTTAGATATTTTTTCAGAAAATCATGAGCTGCAATTAGGAGCCCATATTGTCTCAAGTTAGCATGTGAGTTTTTTCAAAATATTTCTTATACGACTCCTTTTATACTTCCCAAAGGAAAAAAACTTAAAATCCAATTCAAACACGGATCTGTATTTCCAAAAATGAACAAACTTAAAAACCGTGGATGACATATCAAGATACTAGCAAAAATATTTTTAATTTTTATAATAGTAGTCATAATGTGGGTGTGTGTCGGTGAGGTGGGCCTATGAATCAGCTGGATCATCGGCCAGTCAGGTGTGAGGCCCTCGGGCTCTTCTCAGTGGGCTGCATTTGGACTTGGCTTTTTACAACCATGCATGGGCTCATATACAGTTGATAACCTACACTTTTTTTTTATTGGAGAGCGCATTTGGTAGAAAACTTCCGCAAGTTTTTTACACCCCAAAACTTTTAAGATGGAAGCAATTTGATCTGGTACTACATACATACGTGATGAAATTTCAACAACATTTTCTCTTGTGCTAACAAAAAAATCACCATTTTTCTTCTTCAGAAAAGAAAAAATGAAAGCAGATGAAGTGATGAGATGTAGGCGTCTGGCTATAAATACGGATCTAGTGGGAAACTCGAGATTAGTATCAGTATCAGTATAACCTAACAAATACTAATTATTAATCACAAGCTAGCGAGAAATTAATCATGGCGCCCGCCGCCGCCGCCTCCGTCTCCGCGGCCGCAGATGCGGCGGCGGCGTCGTACACGACGCCGAGGAACATCCTGATCACTGGCGCGGCGGGGTTCATCGCGTCGCACGTGGCGAACCGGCTGTTGCGCGACCACCCGTCGTACCGGGTGGTGGCGCTCGACAAGCTCGACGACTACTGCGCCACCCTCAACAACCTGGCTCCGGCGATGGCGTCGCCCAACTTCGCCTTCGTCCGCGGCGACGTCGCCTCCGCCGACCTCGTCCTCCACCTCCTCCTCGCCGAGCGGATCAACACTGTCATGCACTTCGCCGCCCACACCCACGTCGACGACAACTCCTTCGAGTTCACCAAGAACAACGTGCTCGGCACCCACGTCCTCCTCGAGCCATGCCGCCGGAAGGCGCCGCCGGCGCCATCCGCCGCTTCGTCCACGTCAGCACCGACGAGGTCTACGGCGACGCTGCCACGGCGGGCAACCACGAGGCGTCGCGGGCGCGGCTGCTCCCCACCAACCAATCTTTTAAAGAGCGGGCAAAGGCATTTAGCAGTTAGCTTCTCAATCAGCTATACCCGCTATAACGGGCTAAAGCTATAGCTGCTAAATTATACATAAGAGAAAATAACTAGAACCTTTCTCAAATAGCTATAGCGGGAGATAGCGGCAGCTATAACGGGAGATTTAAAACCCTGCCACCAACCCGTACTCCGCGTCCAAGGCCGCCGCCGAGATGCTCGTCATGGCGTACGTGCGCTAGCTCCTACGGCCTCCCGGCGATCACCACGCGCGGCAACAACGTGTACGGCCCGCGCCAGTTCCCGGAGAAGCTCGTCCCCAAGCTCATCCTCCTCGCCATGCGCGGCGGCAAGCGAGCTCCCCGTCCACGGCGACGTACGGCTCCCGCCACGCCCGGAGCTACCTCTACTGCGACGACGTAGCCGAGGCGTTCGACGTCGTGCTCCACCGGGGGAGGTCGGCGTAGCCGAGGGTGATCGACGTCGCCCGCCATGTCTGCGGCGTGTTCGGGCTCGACCCCGGCGAGGCCGTCGCGACGGTGAGCGACCGGCCGTTCAACGACCACAAGTATTTCGTCGACGACTAGAAGCTCAAGGCGCTGGGGTGGTCGGAGCGGACGCCATGGGAGGAGGGGATCAAGAAGACGGCGGAGTGGTACGTCGAGCACGGCGCTGAGTGGTGGGGCGACGTCGACGTCTCCGCCGCGCTGCTGCCGCACCCCAGGATACTCACACCGCAGCAAAGCTTCGACACCACGGCCATGACCAACTTTGATTTCAAGTGAAGTGATCATATCATATATATATCCGCTACAATTAATTAGGTATATGTTCTTAACGTTCTCAACATTATAATCTATCTAGATCAGGGTTTTCAATTTCGACTTTGCACATTTTGGTTCAACCAAAATTCTCGAAATTTCGGTATTTTCGACACTTTTTGGACCGAAATGTTTTGAAATTTTAACATAATTTAACTGAATTCGACTAAAGTTTTACCAAATTCACAAAAATTTGAGAAAAACCTAAAAATTTTGGCCGAGATAATCACTTGCAGGGGGGGGGGGGTCCGAAATTTCGGAAATTTCCAAGTGAAATTGCAATCACTGATCTAGATATCAAAAGGCTTAATTAATTTAAGGTTAATTGCCACAGTGAAAATTGTGATATACTCCCTCCGGGCTGATAATACTTGTCGTTTTGGATAAGGGTGAAGTCAAACTATAAAATCTTTAATTATGAATAATTTCTAAAATATTTGTCTTTGAAATATGGTAACTATATATATAGATTAGTTTTAAAAAATACTTCAATAAGATTATGTATTTGTTAACACTTGTATACGTATTATAATAAAAAAATAGTGGTCAAAGTTGTTTTTTTAAGATTGTACCCTTGTCTAAAACGACAAGTATTATCAATTCGAAGGGAGTATTGTGTTAAAAGTCTTCCGCGTGATATATAGAGCTAGTCCCACTGATAAAAGTTAAGGTGATATACAGTGTCAATCATTCACTCGATTCAAGGAACACAACGACACTTCATTCATATAAACTCATGAACATAAACATAAGAGATTTTTTACCGTTCATCATGTTTCCTGGTACCTGCCGGTACATGCAATCCAGGCCATCCATTTCATTCCATCCAACGGCTGGGGAAAAATGGTACATGGTAGTACTTCCCACGTGTTCATTAACCATTAAAGGAGGTACTAACTGAAAAAGGTAATTATGTAAATTTTCTATCTTCTTCCTCCTCTCACCGTGTCTGCCTTTTCTTATCTCGGATGGCCGTGCTCTCGCCGACAGCCTCGCCAATGTGCCATCTACGCCGTCGCATCTGCCTTGCCGCACACCTGGCATCGGTGTCGCTGCCGCCACCACCTCCACCTTCGCACTCATCCGGAGCTGCCGCCTCCGTCTCGTCGAGCACTCAGCTCTATCGTGTTCCCTAGCACCCGACTTATCCGCCTCCCTCCGGCGAGGGGCGGCGTTGCCACGTTGGTGGCTGTGGATAGATTGTACCAGGCACCTCGGTAGCGATGGCACTGTCGCTCCTGGGCAGATAGATGTGGACTGGTTGCGGGGATGGAGAAAAAGAAATCGGTAGCGGCGGGGGCGTGGGTGCGGGATGGCTACTCGAT